GCTACAGGTGTAGGACCAAGACTACACGTGATGGGGTACCTGCTACAGGTGTAGGGCCAAGACTACACGTGATGGGGACCTGCTACAGGTGTAGGGATAACTTGTCCTGACAGGTGGATAACAAAACAGGTGTAACATTGTTCTTCAAGAATAACAAGTTTAGGGAACAAGGTGAACCAGTGTGTATAACGACGCCTCAGAACACCGGGTGGAGGAAGAGCCGGGTGGAGGAGGAGCCGGGTGGAAGAGGAGTCGGGTGGAGGAGGAGCCGGGGTGGAGGAGGAGCCGGGTTGAGGAGGAGCCGGGTGGAGGAGGAGCCGGGTTGAGGAGGAGCCGGGATGGAGGAGGAGCAGGGTGGAGGAGGAGCCGGATGGAGGAGGAGCCGGGGTGGAGGAGGAGCCGGGTTGAGGAGGAGCCGGGTGGAGGAGGAGCCGGGTTGAGGAGGAGCCGGGTGGAGGAGGAGCCGGGTGGAGGAGGAGCCGGGTGGAGGAGGAGCCGGGTTGAGGAGTAGCCGGGTGGAGGAGGAGCCGGGTTGAGGAGGAGCCGGGTGGAGGAGGAGCCGGGTTGAGGAGGAGCCGGGTGGAGGAGGAGCCGGGTTGAGGAGGAGCCGGGTGGAGGAGGACCCGGGTGGAGGAGGAGCCGGGTGGAGGAGCCGGGTGGAGGAGGAGCCGGGTGGAGGAGGAGCCGGGTGGAGGAGGAGCCGGGTGGAGCAGGACCCGGGTGGAGGAGGACCCGGGTGGAGGAGGAGCCGGGTGGAGGAGGAGCCGGGTGGAGGAGGAGCCGGGTGGAGGAGGAGCCGGGTGGAGGAGGAGCCGGGTTGAGGAGGAGCCGGGTGGAGGAGGACCCGGGTGGAGGAGGACCCGGGTGGAGGAGGAGCCGGGTGGAGGAGGAGCCGGGTGGAGGAGGAGCCGGGTGGAGGAGGAGCCGGGTGGAGCAGGACCCGGGTGGAGGAGGACCCGGGTGGAGGAGGATCCGGGTGGAGGAGGAGCCGGGTGGAGGAGGAGCGGGTGGAGGAGGAGCCAAGTGGAGCAGGAGCCGGGTGGAGGAGGAGCCGGGTGGAGGAGGAGCCGGGTGGAGGAGGAGCCGGAGGGCTGGGGTCCCTCACAGCAGGGGCCGGACACTGCTGTTGCTCCAATGTTTACAGTGTGTTGCAATAACACACTGAGAGTGTTACAGCGTTATGGAGAACACGGTGATGGTATAATGACTGGTATAATGGTATAATGATCTTGTCCACCTATCACAGACGTGGCCACACATTTACAATGCTAACCAACATATATACATTTTCTTCTGCTCTCCATGGACTGGGTTAGAGATGTGTTAAACATATAGTTCAGGGATCTGTTGAACATTGAGCCACGGAAGGTGATTGTTGTGGTGTTAACATGGTAATCTGACCTACACACATGACTCGTGGAGTATGAGGGTGGAGGTCGCCGGAGGTGGAGCCAGTGGGAGGCTGGGTTGGGGCCCTCATTATCGCACTGTGAGGCCCACTGGTCTCCTCTAGCTCTCATGAGGACTTCCCTTTTCTGGGCTCTATAGTCCCTCAGTCCCTAGTGTGGTCACTCCCTCACCCTGTCTGGTCCCTCAGTCCTAGTGTGGTCACTCCCTCACCCTGTCTGGTCCCTGAGCCTCTAGTGTGGTCACTCTCTCACCCCGTCTGCTCCCTAGTGTGGTCACTCCCTCACCCTGTCTGGTCCCTCAGTCCCTAGTGTGGTCACTCCCTCATCCTGTCTGGTCCCTAGTGTGGTCACTCCCTCATCCTGTCTGGTCCCTAGTGTGGTCACTCCCTCATCCTGTCTGGTCCCTTAGTCCCTAGTGTGGTCACTCCCTCATCGTGTCTGGTCCCTTAGTCCCTAGTGTGGTCACTCCCTCATCCTGTCTGCTCCCTAGTGTGGTCACTCCCTCACCCTGTCGGGTCCCTAGTGAGAGCAGTCCCCTCACCCTGTCGGGTCCCTAGTGAGAGCAGTCCCCTCACCCTGTCGGGTCCCTAGTGAGAGCAGTCCCCTCACCCTGTCGGGTCCCTAGTGAGAGCAGTCCCCTCACCCTGTCGGGTCCCTAGTGAGAGCAGTCCCCTCACCCTGTCGGGTCCTTAGTGAGAGCAGTCCCCTCACCCTGTCTGGTCCCTGGGGTACCATGTTTGGGTAGGCCTCTTCGCCGTGTCCCCAATGTGAACAGTCTTCCACCATCGCGTTCAAACTTCTCGTGGGCACTCCTGGCCCCTTCTTATGTCGTCACTCTCATATCCTTAACTATATTTTTTCGGTGGGGGGGGGGGGGGGGGGGGTCACTGGAATATAGGTGCCTGGCGTGGACACTCACCTTATACTCACTAGTCCTCGACTGATCCACCATCGCCAGGTACCTTTTTTAATTTTATATTTTTTTTTTTATTTATGCCCCGAGGGGCGAGTTTATTGGGGAGCGTCACTTATTCTGTGAGTGGACACACTGCTGTAGTGACAGTATTTGGCAGCGCCACTCATTCTGTGAG